GTAAGTATACACTTTCTTCATGCTTTCTGAAACCTAGTCGTCAACCCCATTTTCGAAATTATGTAGCCGGCGTAATTTTCAAGTCCATAAAATAAAATCTTCTGCTTAAAAAAAAAATATTTCTTCTAGTGATCAGGTAGCATGAATTTGTTGAAATGTCATAATTTTATTAAAAGTCAAATGGTTAACAACAACAACGAATGCCATTAAATGAAACTACTTATTTAAAAAATATCATTGTTGCCCACACTAAAAGATTTACCGCAAGGGAAAAGGGATATTTCCATACCCCATATACCATATACATATGTACACGTATTTTTTTAAACAAACCTTCTTGCAGAGAAATTATTTAGTTTGCAAGAGCCGGAAAATAACATTTATTTATTTATTATTTATTATTATTGCTTGTAAATAAATTCAAAATTTGTATGGCTCACTTCGTATCAAACGTTTTTTCTTTTGTTTTGAAAACAAAAAGCAAAGCCAAAGAATCAGCATTGAACTGCGTCAAGATCAAAATAAGGGAGCACGAATTTCGAAGTGAAGCAAAAATCTCTAGGAAGACAATACCTGTAATTATTGTACCATAGGTTTTAGGTAGAAAACTATTTGAAATGTAAAAGTCTTTTATACTGAATGAGTTTTCAGGAAAACTTTTTCTTTTAATTCAGTTAGAGAGAGGGTTCGTTTTGCAAGCAGCATTGTAAGCTATTCAACATGTTATTGTTCCTATAATTGAAATGCATATTCTTTTTTGCTTAAAAGGCTCAGAAAATAAGAATTATGTACGTAGAACAATAAAAACGCGAGGTTTAAATTATTTCAAAAAGGAACGAGCCCAGAAGGAGCGAAATAAGAAGCTAAGAATAAGAAAAATAAGAAGAAAATTTCCCGAATGAATAAAAACACTCTATTGGAATTATTTCGCCTATTTTTCTAGTACTATGGTTATCCTTCAAAATGCACCCTTGAATGCTGCTATACGATTTTGCCTTTAAGAATTATGGCCATTTTAACTGCCGCGTCCTCGAATATAACACCGCCAAACCAAGTACATGCTTTCCAAAAGGGCTGGCACAATGCAGGCTTGCTTTGCACGCCTTGCTGACTTTAATTTGCTTTGATTTACTTCGAAAACTTGTTTGGCCGAATGGCGGCTTGTAACGCTGTCAAAGTAACCAGATGTCTGGTTGAAAAGTCAATGTCTGTTCCCTTAACACAAATAATTATTTTCTTAGAAAACTGTAGAAAATGTATCAAAAACTTTCATATTTATTTTTAAATTAATGCGAAATGATGTTTGCATTTAAAAGAAATGGTAATAATGATACATATATATGTATATCTACATTTATTAAAAAAACTATAACTTAAACTAGCGATTTACTTGAAGAAAAGAGCTATAAGAAGTTTTTTCCTCTCGTGTAAAATTTGCAAAAGTGGGCTTTGCAACAGTTTACTATAAGATAACGATATTGATGTTAAATGTAAATATGGAAACAACGAACAATTTTTATTTCGTTTCGAACTGCTTGTATGACTTTTTTTTAAATTAAGTAAGCAAATTTTTGTTTGAATTTATGTTTTTTGAACGGGAACATACTTCTTTGCCAAAAGCCTACAAAACGCTTTCAAATAAAACGTTTGCCTATTTGAAACTTTGAGGCGCTTAAAGCAAGTGAGGAAAAGCTGCCATTTGGCCAGCCTTTATACGTTTTGGACCAGTACCTTAACTCATTACGTCATTTTTAATGGTCTGACTTCTGGAGGAAAAATCGTAAAGCACCACTCGAAGGTGCATTTTCAAGGGTAAGAATAGTACCAAATGCCATATAGCCGGTGGAAGAACGTCTTTTCAAAATCCGCATTAAAGGGAGATTCTTCAATATCTCGCTTATCTGCGTACAAGGCCACGCTGAGATCAGGCGCAAGCAATGCGAGCCATGTGGGATCGCTACAGGGAACTCAAGAGGGAAGCGCGACGTATTTGATGAAATAACAGGAGAGAATCTGAAATATGTGAGTGCGAAGAGCTTGAGATGATGGCCGACAGGAAAAACGCCAAAAAATTGTATTAAATAGTTAGGCAACTTACGGAAGGTTTCAAGACCAGGGCGAACTCCTATAAGAATAACTATGAAGATCTGGTTATCTATGTCCAGAACGTACTTAAATTACCCTATTGAATTGCAACAGCACTGAAAGTAATGGAGAAGACGGACCCGAACCACAGTCGATGACGATGGAGCGATTATGCGAATAGCGGTTACGCGGCTGAAAAACAACAGAGCTGCTGGAACTGACAGCATGCCAGCCGAGCTATTTAAGTACAGCGGCGAGGAGCGGATGCCCGACGACTGGAATTTAAGTGTGCTCTGCTCAAACGACAAGAAAGGCAATCCCGCTATACGCGCCAACTACTGCGGGATCAGCCTTCTAAGCATAGGTTACAAGGTATTATCGAGTGTAGTGTATGAAAGGTGACTTTGGACCTGGCATATCCATCATAGACCAGTTGTTCACAATACGACAAATCTTGGAAAAACTCGCGAGAATAGGATCGACATACATTATATATTTGTGGATTGCAAAGCCTAGGCGCCTTTGCACCCACATTATAGTTGGAAGTCACAAGTTTGAAAAAGTAGACGACTTCGTTTATTGGGGAACCAGCATTAAATTAACACCAATAATAATGTCAGTCAAGTGCTACTTTGGACTGAGTGGGCAATGCAGGAGTAAAGTAATCTCACGAAGTATAAAAATCGCACTCTATAAGTTACTCATCATGCCTGTGATAGTGTATGGCGCGGAGGCATGGATAATGAAAACATCTGATGAAGCGGCTCTTGGAGTTTTGGAGACAAGGATTCTACGCAAGATTTATGTTGGTCTTGGCGAATAACGCAGGCGTTTTAACGATCCAGCGACTCTGCTGGCTATGTCATGTATATCCAATGAACATAAACGCTGGATAGCTATGGATAGCGCTATCGATAACATCGATAATTTGGTATTTCTATTACCATCGACATCTTTACCCCTTTAATTTCTATAGTGAGAACTGAGACTATCGAAAATAGCGAATGACGTCACTGTCGATAGTGTGACAACTCTACACATCAGTCGTTTCTTTTTCCCCGAAGATATATCGTACAATGTTTTTGAAAAAATATGCACATTCATCAAATATATGCACAAACCAGCAGAACTGCCAGATATATCACAAATACGCTTTTTCAAGCTTTTAATAGATTTTCCAGCCCTGATAATAGCACAGGTTTACAAAAAAAAAGTTTATGCATATTAAACTAAACCTATATATCCCTATGTTATTCATAAGGTTTTACATTCGCTAAACCTGAATCCGAGGTTCGTTAACCTCCATAATGTCAGCTTCGAGGTCATTTGAATGTCAAAAAGGACATAAAATTTATTCAACAAAATTAAAAAAAAATTGTTTTTGTTGTCACTGAAACCGAGTATGGTCCCTTGATTCCTCAAGGTCATCTGGAGGTCATGCTAAAGTCATCCCAAGGTCAAGTTCCGATGAATTTTATTGAATTTTCAGTTTGTTTCAATGAATTTTTCCCTACTTTACCTTCAAATGACCACGAACCAGACGTGATGGAGGCTAACGGACCCCGGATTCGCATTCAGAATGTCGAATAACATAGGGATATATAGGTTTGGTTTAATATGCATACACTTTTTTTTTGTAAACCTGTGTAGTTAACATAAAATAATTTTTTTTTCTTGGGTGCTTACGTATGTACATACATATGTACATTAGAGTGGTCCAAAAAAATAAAGTCAGAGTTTTAATGCCGGCACACCCTAGGATTGATCCATATCGCAAAAAAATATACCCCTATTTTTTTATTTTGAAATCAAAAAATATTTAGGGAGCGCTGAAAGCGTTCAAAGTTTTCCAAGTATTTTATATGGAGAAAAACCAATTTGTCGTAGAAATGGTATAAAACTGGAAAACTATTGTTCTCTTCAGGATACTAATATCCAATTATTTATTTAACCATTTTTTATGATTAAAGATTTTTTATTGGTCCCCCCATTGCATTTTCTAAGGGCTTTGGTGGACCTATAAAATATAGTTACCATGAAAAAATTGTTAAAGAAACAATTGAGTATTATTACTGGGAATCTCCTGAAGATAAGTAAAGCTTTCCGATCGAAAAATATTGATTTTCAAAAATTCTACACTATTTCTACGAAAAGATGTTTTTTCTCCATATAAAATACATGGAAAACTTTAAGCGCTTTGAGCACTACTAAATTATTTTTGATTTCAAAATAAAAAAATATGGGTATATTTTTTTCGGTGTATAACAATCCTAGGGGGTGGCGGCTTTAAAAATCCGACCTTATTTTTTTACATACATTTTTGGACCACTTTAATGTACATTTATACATATGTTTTACATTGAACTCTCACTTCATTAAAAAATACATGTTGTGTGTAAGAACGCATTTATTTCGATTTTTATCCGAAAGCTTGACCTTGTGAAACTTCACAAATACGAAAAAAATACAAGACTCGTTCAAGGTAAGTTTCCACAACCAGCATATTTTGAAAGCAGCGAATAACCTATAGGCATAGGCAGCAAAATATCACCTCAAACGCTCCTTTGAAGTGAAACTGCATTGATAAGGAAGCAACAAATGTTTCTGATAGTAAACTTTCCCGCACAAGAAATAAAAGCTTAATGCTGGTCAACAACGAATGTTTGTCCCAAAAACTGAAAGGACTTTCTTGCGCTCTCTTTATCCTGCTTGTAACTACGCTCTTTTGAGCATTCCGAGCCGTGGTGAGAGCGACGCTGAGCAACTCCCGCACAATTAGAAGTGGGTGGAATATTGCTATAGATTTATGTGTTGGTGTTGCTGCCGCTGGTGTTGGCGTAACAGAAAGTGTTGCGTGTACATTGCTGAAAAATTTTCTGAAACGGTTCTTGCGACCGTCAGTCTAGGGTAAACGCTTCAGATGGGCACAACAAGTGCGCGCGTGCTAGTAATCTACACACACCTAGTATTGAGAAAAGAGCAGTGAAAGTGGTGAGTGACATTTGCAACAGCAACAACAAAACCTAAATATGTACATACGCATGCACAATGTGAGCAGAAAGTGTGAGTGCAGAAGTGAAGTGAAGCATTAGATTAGCGACGGCAAAACCGCGATTAGCGCTGGTTTAAAACGCGCTTCAGGTGAAAGCGCGGAAATTCACTCTCAAAGCATCTATTGTGTCACTGATGGTGGGTGCGTGCCACCACAGTGGGTAGTGAGACATCTTTACCTGCCACTTTAAAGTTTCGCTTTGCTGATTGTCGTGCCCGTCATTTGTATTTGACGGAAATATCCGACTTATCCGGAAAAGGAAATTTTACGTCGCGCTTTCCACACCTTCGGCATTGACGTGGTTGAGTGTTTGTTGTTGCCAAATTTTAATTACTTTCTGCGTTTACCGTGGGTAGACGGAGGTTTTTTGTCTTTTTACGCAGCTGTTTTGGTGAATGGGGTTGAGAGGAGAGATTAAGAAAAACGCTTGAGTGGCGCCCTCAAAATCAAGTGAAACTTACACGTTCCCTTGGTGTGTCAGTGTTTGCTCAACGGAAGTGTTAAATCGTGAATAAATTGGTTCACCACTCCTGGGAGTACCAATAGCAGTTGTACCTTTAAAAATGCAGTGTTTTGCTTACAAAGGGGCAGGCAAAGTGAAATAGTTTCCAGTTTTACTTTTATAAATGAAAAGAAGTGAACGAGTGGTGAATTTGGATACGAGTTATTGTAAAAGAAGTAAAATTTCGAAATATTTTGTATCACGCGATTTGCTATTTTAATAAGCAGTTTTACTCTGCTTCAGCTCGTACATACATACATATGTATACACGTATACATGAATATTTGTATGCGAAGAAAAATTAGATCAATATACATACAAACATACGTACGTACAGTAGAGGAAATAATGACCTCAAGCAGTTGATGGTTATATCACGCACATTATTAAATATGAGTGTATTGAAAATGTAAAAGTAACAAAAGCGTGTTTGAATTCCCATCGATTTAGCAGCACAACCCCTGTAGTTCCACACTTTTGGTAAATTCCAGCTCGTTTTGATCTGTTCTCAACTGGCACAATCAAAACAAAGGCACAGCAACAAAAATATAAAAAAAATTGTTAAGCAAAATAATTTAGTCACTAACGTTCTTATACGAAAAAAAACTCGCGTAAAATAGCTATTCCTAAATGGTTTTTCGCGAAAGCGGTCCCACCCTTAAAAAATTGTGAAGATAATCATCCCAAACCAAACCAATCCAAATATCAACAAAGTTGTATCAACAAAATTATTTTTGTAATATATTTGCTTGTGAAATCTTCGAACAAAGGCAATTACTTAGATACTTTTTGCATTGCACCAGCTTCAGCGCCAATCAACAATACAGCAAAACGATTCCACCGACCCGCTACCGAGACTACGAACTGAAAATGTATAACTTTTGGATAATCGTTTTATGCCTAGGATTATTAGCAAGCAAGCCAATAAGTAAGTGTAAATCTTGTTTTCTTTACCAGTTGTCCATATGTATGTACATACCTAAAAACATATAGCTTAAAATTCCAGCGAGTTTGTTTACTTTTCGTAAGCTTGTTATTTAACTTTGCTAGTGGTTTGTTTGCAAGCAATTTGAAGTTTTCAGACATGCCATTGTATGGCGGATAATTCATCAAAATACGGTAAAGTCGAAAAACATAAGAAAATAATTTGGTATTAGTGCATATGGGATATACCCCAGTAAAAGAATTAATGTGCAATATGTTTTTCTTCATTTTCGCTCTATGAAAGAAGGGTAAAACTTTTTGCTGTATGCGATTATAATAGCTTTTAGTTTATAAGTATTTTCATATCTTAAGTTGTTCCTTTATAATTTTAACTACCGTTATTACAAACAATATTTAATATTTTATAATAAATAATTATATGTGCAAAATGAACTATTCAGCTTCCGTCTGCTCCAGTGTCAAAAATTTTCAATAGAAATCTACACCAATGAAGGTGTGGTAAAAACTTAAACATATAGAAGCTATTTACTTTCGTAATAAAACCCGTTTTATTATTTCTCCTAGTTATATTATGGCTACGGTGACCATCCGTCCTTTATTTTAAAGGACGGTCTTTATTTTAGCCGTCTGTCCTTTATAATTTTTTTCAAAATAAAGGACGCCTTTTGTCTTTTATTTTTTAAACTGGTTTTTAAATCGGCTCTGCATTTTTCAGAGGTGAATTTTTAAAAGCAGAATATGAAAAATAAAAATGTCCCTTATAAAATATAATGAAAACCTTCGCCAGTTTGGTTTGCACCCCAGCTAAGGGTTTCTATTTAATCCGTATTCTTTGTACAATCTATAAAGCACAGGGAAAGTTGTGCCCAGGATCGTGTTGCACGCTGAGTTTCCACAATAAAAGCCCTGGTGCACGTTATACTTATGTACTTATAAGAAAATGTTTACCAAAAAAAATAAATATTTTTTTTTGATTTTTAGTAAAAATTGCATAATGAACATCAAATTCCAATTTTGAACCACTGTGTTCTGGCTTCGTCATGCAGTATGAATTATGGTAAACGCATTTTGGTAGCAATGGATGGCGAAGTCCATGAAAAGGATTTGGCTTAATTTTTCGCTACAGCAGGGGATCTTGTTTAATTAAATAATATTATTAACTGGTAAATAAATATAAATAATATTATTAACGGGCCAAATTGACCCCGTTTTGCCATACATCATGTTTAAGAGGGTGTAAAACAAAAACCGCTTACTTAAAAATGCTTATATGAACGTTAACTAATTCCTAAAAGGTGTATCTTTCATAACGCTTACGCTTCCGTCAGATCCTTGCTGTCTATCGAGTGTAATGCAAGTGTGTTCTTTAAACAAAATTAAAAGTGGCAAAAAAACATCCAAATGTAATATATGAAGAAGTAAGCATGAATTTATAGAAAGCGTTGATATGCTCGTTAGCCCAAATTGGCTCCGTGTTGCCATATGGCAACGCAAAATACGTTGTATGTATATTTGCAGTTTTGCAGGCGGTTAAATCATTCCATCTAGCTCTGAACTGCCTAATCAGATTATCGTATATTTCATTGTCCCAGTGTTGAAGTGGTACACAAATGTAGTTTGTCTGTTTCAGGGAAGACTAGTGGCGTTTTTTTACATTCTCATCTGCTATTTCATTACCCTAGATTCCCTTGTGACAGGGCACCCAATAGATATGTAGGCTTTTGTCAGCATCTAGCTTGTCGATGGCTTCTCGGCTGCGAAGGACGTTTATTCATGAAATACTATATGAGGAAACTGCCTTCATTTCCGCCTGGAATAAGTGTAATTTTGAATTGGTTATCGTTTCGGTGAAGGCTAGCTCTGCAGTTATCCTCATTGCGAAAGCCTCTGCTTGAAATTTGCTGCAATGGTCAGGTAGCCTTGCTGTCCACCTGACGTTCAGTTCCCGGCAGTAAATCCCGGCACCCACTCCCCTAACCATTTTAGAGCCGTTCATGAAAATGTTTAGGGATCTATGGCTTCATTCCCTTGTGCCATCCCTCCTCAACCTTCGTGCAAAAAGTTCGTTTCAACTTAAAGCTAGGTGCCATGAAGTCTATGCTGCTGGTGCTTCCCACCCCAATTAAGCGGTGCCCTAAGGTTCTGAAATTGAATTTTCCTATGACCGTCAATCTACGTGCGGATTTCACAGCACGGTTTTCCGCGAATCGGCCAATGGGCGGTAAACTAAGGGGTTTTTAAAGAACAGCCGTCGAAGTGGACCTCAGCGCTCCCGCTATGCACAGTGCCGCTAGGCGTTGAACCTTCTCCATTGGCCCGAGACATAACGACCTTTTTGCGGCATTCCAGCACACCAAAGCGCCATAGAGCAGTATTGGGTTGACTATTGCTGTGTAGCACCAATGCATCAGAGCAGGTGACAAATCCCAAGTGACTCCCAGCATTATTTTACATACATAAAGGCCGTTACTGTCCTTCTGTTGGTGCAGCATGTAAAACTATAGGAGGAGTAGCCTGTGAAAAATGTGATGTGGGTTTATGTTTGAAATGTTTTGCTACTTTTCATACTAAAAATTAACTTATTCATCCGCTTTGCTCGTAGAATATGCATATATTATCAATAAATGTATTAAAACTTATAAACAATGTTTCTATTATTTCATATTTTAACCAAATACTGTCCTCTAACAATCCATCTGGAATACGACCCGTGTTGCCATATGGCAACGGCCGATATCGGAAGAACTATACTACTCCCAAAGTTTTAGTAATCTCTTTTCCTTTACTTTAAAGCTACTTTTACCCTTTATATAGATGAAACCAAAAAATCTAAAAAAACTTAATCTGGGACAATTTGGGTTAAATTACGATATGTGTAAGGTACTTTTATCATACAAGTTGTATGCACATATTCCCAAATCATTTCGAAAAAAATGTCCCTTACTTGACGTTGGTTAATACGGTCACCGTAATTATATCCCATAATATCCAGTGGCATTGATCTATCTGAAGAAGAGCCCGTAAGAATAACTGAAATGAATTTTTGTGGCATGAAAATTAGTTAGTTAACTCCCGAAGTAATCGGACAGCAGAATATATGAAGTTCCTTTAAGAATCCCGACGGCTATGAAAATAATAAATAATAAACAAACCCCAAAAGGGTAGTGCAAATGACATATCTAAAGGTTAGCTACTAGGAACAGCATGATTTACCGTAAAAATTGAAATGTTTTAGAATCTCTCTGCCACAAGTAAAAGTTCACAATAAATAATAAACACAGTTTTGGTACTTAGGGTGAAGAAATACATCGCTAAACCACAGCCCAGCTTATGGCACGAACTTCGTTTTTAGCATTTTACAACAATTACAAATTTTGTAGAAAGAATTGAAAAATGCTATTTTCAGTGGAAAAAAAACTTGAATATTTTTGATCCAAGTGCCCACCATAAATATTGGAGAGTCATCCGGCTTCCGTGGCAAACCTGCCCTTGGCGCAAAGAATCTTTCCTTTAAAGTAAGAAGCGTATAGCTTTGGAAAACAAATAAAATCTTTTCACTTTGGGAAAATTTAATATCCAGAAGTAGAAACATTCTTTGCTCATTAAGTTGGCTCATTTCGACTGGCGATATTTGAAAATTCGTTCTCACCGTGCGAACAAAATCGTTATACAAGGAACAAAATACCTTCTTTTAGAGTAACTACCTACTAATACCACTGAGGATTTTAAGATCTACTTCTCAACATGATTTTTACTTATGCAAAACAAAACGATAAAGTGAATGATAAACTTAAATAAACCGAACTTCACACATAGGAGGCAATAATACAAAATTTCGGTAGCTGTATATGCCAAGAAGTGTAAAACAAATTAACTTGTGCAATAGAAATTCAATCAAATACCAACATATAAAATTATCCTTAAAACCTTTTTTAAAATAATAAAACTTGTTTCCTTGCACTCATCTGTAAATATTTTCTACGAAAATTTCAACATCATGGTACAATCAGATTATCTTGTTATAAACCAATGCATATTTATAAAGCTTTTACTGATAACATCAACAGAAAACAGTTTTATTTTGTTTTCGAAATTTTGAATTTTACAGAGAAACACAAATTTGCATCAAAATTAAGTTTATTACGTTCTTATGTACATAAACACATTTTTCTCGCGTTTTTCGTGAATGAGGTGTAGTAGAACTATCACAGGACATCCCCAGTAGTAGTTAGCTATCATACGACGATCCCATCTGCCTGGATAAACCTCCTCCATAGGCCAAACAGGTCATGGTGAAACCGCTCCGCTTGTTCTTCCCTATGTGACTCAAGATTATATTGGTATTTGTCACGATGACTGTGTAGGTAGTGTACTTTGATGAACATATTACATACTACAATAAGGCTCTCCAGCATTTCGGCGTATAAATTTCCAGAATATTTTTAGTAATTTCAAAAAATGGAGTCTACCTGCGTAGTTCCAAATCGTTCAATGAATTTAAGAAATTAGAATCCTTTTTAATGTTCCTATTTGAGGTCAATCGAAAACTCTCGCTTATACTCACGACATCTTCTCATAATATGAGACAAACATTGCCCATTTTTGCCTAGCGTCTTAACAAATTGTTGCATAAAGCCCAGCTACTAAAAGGGGATTTACCATATTCTGAACTTTCTGAATGAAGAAATGGTATTAAATCATTGAATGCTTCTTGGATGAAATGTTTTGGCTTTGTATACGCTATTCCTTCGAAATCTCTGTGATGCCCACTTCCTCTGAATGTTGTAAGATTCTTCTAGATAAAAATTAACGTTAAAAACGCGCAAATTAAAACAGCGGAAGTAGCAGTCATGAAAGGGATTTTTCTGTTATTTTAATTGTATATACCCTCCGAAACTCATACGGCTGTTTTTGACCAAAAATACTGTTTACAACTAGAATTTCCTGACTGAAACCGAATTAGTTGGAAAATGGCCAGACTTG